ACTCAAAATCGGACAATAGGATAAAGGAGAAAATTTTCTCCTCTTACTAGATAATGTGGTACCAACCACAGGGAGAAATCCCTGTGGTGGCCGATTCTATACTGCCCAAGAGAGAGAAAATTATTTCAAAATTAAATGAGAATTTATCTTAATTTTACATGAGATTTAAAATAAAGATTAATCACAAAATTTCTAAAACCTTATCTTAGAGATAGAGTAGAGTTCTAGTTGGACTCTAAGAGCTTTTCTATAAATATGTGGGGGTAAAAAATTAGAAAACACAATTTTTGATCTATTTTCCCTATATATATAAGGGAGAAAAGTTCTTCCAAATTCCCAGTCCTGCTACGTACATGTGCTAATGATAGTGGGAGACTAGTGAATAGAGTGCTAGTCCCGTTTTGATTTCAGGTTGTGTCCACACACAGTCTTTATAGAACCAAGGAGTAGATGAGAAAGATTCTTAGTGATCTGAGAAGCAGAGCACTTGGATGCTTCGTGGTCAAAGACTCAAGTTATCATACTAATCGGTAGCTAGGTATATTCCAAAATTAATTAAATTAATTTATTCGCCTATAAATTTACAATTAATAGTGTTCACAAAAAATTTGAAAAAACTTTTATTTATACTCGATCCACATTATCACGCTTCTGCATCTGAAATAGTTTCAGAAACTAACAATGTGCTTGTTGAAATGTTCAAGTATAAGTCATTTGCACAGTATATAAATGCTCAAGGGACTTATTTATTCACTTTTTTATTCAAAAAAAAATGGATTTCATCTTATATATTAATATTCTCAGCTACCTATTTCATTACGTCTATAAGATACAAGGATTACAATTTAGCAATTTCGAAATCCATACCGTGTAAGCCAAAAGAAAAAAATCTATAAATAAGAATCCGCTAATAATTCAGGATTAAGATCATTTTATATATGACCATCGATAGACTCAATTTGATTTTCTATACTTAAGAAAAATTCTTAGAAATTAAACTCGTATATGTATCCCAGTCCTAAATAATAACATTATGAATAATACACTTATTCAATATCCATCCATATTAACAATACAGATTACATCGTTCTATTCTTAATAAGAATGACGTGTATTATTAATGTTTTAATTAAAAATTCTGAAACTTTAATTAAATTCATTATGGATATTATTTCGATTACTATCCTTAAATATTATTCTTCATATATAACACTTATGTATAATATTTAAGGTCATATAAATAATTGTGAAATTTTCAATAATATTCATAAATATTCAGGCACATAAAATAATAAAAATTCACTTTTATTAAATAAATAAATATCTAAATTAGATCACATGTTTTAAGAACAAAATTACCGATAAATTCTAGATCACCAACTTGCTTGAAAACTTGCCAGCAAACCAATTCCTAATGCTTAACTAATAAAAATGGAAACTCCTCGTGACTTCCACGTGTGGGCTTGCAGCCTGATCTATACCAATTATCCAATAATCCAAGAAGAGCTTCTAAGTATCAAACTCATAGATTGAAAGTTGGTATCATTATGGTAATCGACACATCATGCTTAGCCTATCAAAAGCCATGTAAAATAACTTTAAAAGTTCCGTAAATGCTATTTCAATGTCATATCACTTAGGTATACTAGTCCTTGAAAAATTGTAGGTGTTACCCACGCCGGCTTTGTAAAAATAACTCAATAGAAAAATTTTATTAGTAAAATAATTTTTTAAAAATTTTTATTTGTAAAATGACCACTTTTTACAAAGAATAATTATGTGGTCATTCTTCATAAAAAATGAAGAAGGTCATTTTACTAATTTCATTTTGTTGTATAATCATTCTAGCATATTGCCCTGTTACACACCCTCTTCTCCTTTAACTGAGTTGTCATAATATTTTTCATTTTATTTACTTGGTTATGTGCTACTTGGTTTATTGTGACTAATGAGAATTTTTTAATAATTGTAAATAGTCTCAAAAAGATTTTAAAATCCTATTCATCCCGTTTTGGGTAGTCATTCTTAGGCTACCATTTAGTTGGTGATTTTTTGAAATTTCAGAATTTGTATTAAAAATAAGTGTAAAATAGAAAAGCAACGGTTATTCTTTTAATTTTCTCAAATAATTAAGCTATTTACTCCTTTAAAGTTTATGAAAGGAAAAATGAGATAAATATTCTTAGAGTGTATGAGTCTGAATTTTTACTTCTTATTCTTGTTAAATATTCTCTTCTATCAAATAACTATATTAGTTAAAAGAGTATTAATCAAGAGTAAGCATAAAAATTAAGAAACATGTACTCTAAGGGTAACTTCAACAAACTTTTCTTAATATTGAAATGAGAAAATAAAATAAATATCCATTTAGAGTGGATGAGTTTAGATTTTACCTCTTACTCTTGATTAATATTTTTTTAGTCAAATAAATATAATAATTAAAAGGGTACTCATGCACTCTTAAAGTAAGTTCAATAATTCTCTCTATTGTTAAAAGAGTAGTTATATTTACTACCCAAAAATTCATTAATATCCCCATTAATTAATCGTCCTCTAATAAAAATTTGAAAAATCTATCTTTTTATAGACATAATTTTCATAATACCTAATGTAATCATCTTATGCCCCCACCTAATTTTAATCATCATTTGATTTATAAAATATAACCTCTTTCAACTATTAATGTTTATTTTCTTTTTAATAATAATTCTATTTACTTTTATTTATCAATTGTCTTCGCCTTACTTCCTCCTTAACCTTCTTTTTCCTTTTCTTTTTAATGGTATAAATTAAATAAGAACAAAGCCTTTATCACACAAAAACAAACTCGATGCGATTAAAAAAAAAGACCAAATAGACACCAATCCTCCTCGCAACAAAGATAAAAGGCACAGTCATAAAATTATTCTCACTAAAATCCACCAAACACATAACATTACAACAAATAAAAGACTGGAAAAAGAAATAGAAAACAAGCTCACAAAAGATATTCCAACAACAAGTTTTCTAAAATAAGGTAAGAAAGGCTATGGAGGTAGAAAATACTCTGCATACTTTAGCATTTGTTGGCGCTTCAAGAGACTTTTTTTTTTTAATCGAAACCTCCATTGAAATTTTCAAAAAATTTGATAGAGAAAATTTTAGAGTTTATGAAGATGAAATTAGCTTGAGGCAGAAATATAGGGGCATGTTTTTTTATTCTTTGAAATTTTATACTACTATTTTCATGTATAGTTAATGTAGGGGTGTATTAATGGGTTTTGATGTAATTTTAATGCATAATAAAATTGTAATAACCATAAATTATGATTTCATGGGGTATTAATGAATATTTAGGGTGCACAAATAATTACTCTCAAAAGGAGACAAATGCGTCTTAAAAGTGCATGGCTCAAGACTTTCGTTACTTACTCTTAATTAATAACTTTTTTAATCAAATAACTATACTATTAAAAGGATATTAATTAATAATGTGTGGTAAAAATTCAGACCAATGTACTCTTAGAGTATGTTTGGTAGGAGGGAGAGACGAAGGGAGTGAGAGGGGTGGAGGGAGAGAGATGGAGGAAGAGACTCAGGGCCCGTTCACTTCGCTGATTCGAGTTTGTAATTCGAGTTGAGATGTGATTTTGTGTGAGAGCTTTTTACTGTAACAAAAAAGTTAGATGTGACTGTTTCTGAGAGCTTTTTACTGTAGCAAAACTCGAATCGACGAAATGAACGGGGCCTCAATCTCTTGTTTGGTTGGGAGGAGATGGGGAAGGAAATGAGAGATGGAGAGAGACTCTCTCTATCCGAGTCCACCAATTTACATCCCTCCACTAATTGAAGGATCCATGTAATCTTCGCATTAAAGATATTTAAAAAGACTATTTCATCCTAAAAAAGTTTAATGTGAAATTAATAAAAAGTACAATATAGTAATTAAAAAAATATTTACTCATCCATTTTTTTAACTCTCCATCCCTCCTATAAAATAACATAAAAAATTATTATAATCTTCTTAATCTCTAGAGACGTTTGCTTAATCATGAGATTAAAATTATTTTTGATTTACAAAAAAAATACTATAATAAATTATGAACAATGACTCAAATTATAATATGAATTATCTTACCAAACATCTTCTTAAATTTTTCATTACTCCGCCTCTCTTCATTCCTTATCCCCATCTCTCCTATAGTCTTGAGGGTAAATTCTCTAATTTTCTTTTGAAATTTGCTTTTTACTCGATCCAAACTGTATCACTCTTGGTTGAAAGCCTACAAAACAAGATCTAGCCCAGGCCCAGCCGCCAAAAAGATTGAAGATTGTCGGAAGGAATATGGGAAGACTTTTTTGTCCCTTCACATTATAAGAAGAAACCAGAAAGGAAAAGTAGAAAAAGGAAAACCAATACCAAGACCAATAAATAAACAAAAATATATATAAATGATCAAATCAAATAGAAAAGAAAAGAAAAGAAAAAACAAAGGAAATATATAATATTCAACACCACCTTTTTCTGTCTTCTCTTTGGTGGGAATTTTGGCATAACAGAAGGGTTCTTCTCTATTCTCTCTCTCTAAATGCTATCGCTCTCCGACCAATAACGTAAACCCCCCATCTTCTCCCTCTTCAGACCCCCAAAATCCGGGGTAGAGAGAGAGAGAGAGAGAGAGAGAGAGCCTTTTAGCAATAAGATATAGAGAGAGGAGAGTCTCCGCCATGGATTCGTCAGCTTCAAACGATGTCGTTCCGGGGCTCACAGAGAAGGAGTCCATGGTTGACCCTTTCTTGGTCGAGGCTCTCCAAAACCCTCGCCACCGTCTCACCAGTAAGTTTTTCGGTTCTTCTTTTCGCTTCAATTTGGGGTTTTTTTCCTGTTGAAATTAGATCTCTTTCTCTCTTTCCTTTTTTTTTTTTTTTTTTTTTTTTTGATATTGGATTTTCTGGAAAAAAAAATAGCTTTTTTCGGTTTTAGGATTCCAAAATTCTTGATTGTGTTGATTCGATTGCGCCGGGTTTAGGGTTTGGGCGAGCGAATTTCGGCATCTTGTTTTGCGTAATGCGTGGTTGCTTCGTTTGATGTCAGATCTGGGGTCTTCTGAATTACCCTCTTGTTTGGGTGTTAGGAAAATTGACGTAAAGGTGGAAAATTTTTGACATCTTATTTATGAAAATTGGAAATTTGACCTTAGCTAAAGAGGATAGTTTGCGGGTTTTGATTTATTCAGAACTTGGAAATTCCATCCTAACTTTCATAAGAGATAATGACCTTTTCAGTGAAGCGCTAATTTATTTTCCTTGAAAGCTATCTTTCAACCTTTTCCTAGTAATGAAGAACAATTATAGTTCCTTAAATGTCTTGTGGTGATTTTGTTTGGGAAGATTCATGTAAATATGGTTTGAGTTTGAAAAAAAAACCATATGAGTTCAAATCTAATACTATGAAGTTTGAGTTTGTAAATATGGTTAAAGCCATCATGTAATACTGATACTATTTAGTTAGTTTGACTATGGAGACTGGCTACTTATTAAGCTAAAGATCTCAAATCTTCCTGTTTTACTGGTGCAATTTAGTGGGAGAAACAATGTTTTTTGCTAAATAGTACTAACTCTCTATGGTTTACCTGTAACTTAATTTGTTTACTTGCTATTTCATCGTTAGTATTGCTTCCTAAACTAAAATTTTGCTAGCAAGATGAAGAACTAGAATTTGAACTAATAACGAGTTTAAAACTTTTAGTTATTTCATAATATATCTTGTGAGAGTTTTATCTTAGTCATGTTATTTGATATCTTTTAGTGTTTATGGCTTTAAATATATCTGCAACAAGTTGCTTAAAATTTGTATGATTTGCAGATGTATGCTTATCTACGTTTTGGTTTTGTGGTTTGAAACTTACTCCTTTCCAGTGTTCAGTTTCATGATGTTAAAGTCATGTAATTGCTTTGAAATTTTCTACTCACGTTCTTAATCCATAATGACTTGATTTTTATTTGTTTTCAGTTCTGAGAATGGAACTTGATATCCAGAGGTTTCTGCACAATTCTGACCAACAGCAATTTGAATTCCAACATTTTCCTACATCTTACCTTAGACTTGCTGCACACCGTGTTGCTCAACACTATGGTTTGCAAACTATGGTTCAGGATAGTGGCTTTGATGGTCAAGGAAATAAGATTTTAGTGAGAAAAACGGCAGAGAGCAGGTATCCATCAGTTCGTTTATCTGAAATACCAGCAAAACAATTGGAATATGATAAACCAGAGAATGTCAAATTAGTTATCAGGCCTAGGCCAAATAAAGCATCTGTAAATGAAGCCAACAGAGTTGGGAATAAACGAAATTCTTTTAGAAGCGTGGAGGAGAGAAAGGAGGAGTATGATAGGGCACGAGCTCGCATCTTTAGCAGCCCTAACAGTCCTGATTCAAATGACTCATTGTCTGAGGCCTCAATGGATGTGAAGACTGTAGGTTCGAGCCTGGATGAGAATGAAAGTAGCAGAAACTACATTATTGACCTAGAAAAAAATTTGGGCATCAAGGATATTAGTTCTTCATCACGAGTTGCCATATTCAGGGACAGGGAAAAGGATCGCACTGACCCAGATTATGACAGAAGTTATGAAAGGTAAGGAGTCATTGTTGCGATGATGGTTGTAGTCTGTTATATACAATCGTAGTTGTAGCATACTTGTGTTCTTTTGACATGAACAAGGTTTTAAAAGGCGGAATCGGGCCTCGAGGCGTTTTGCCTTTTACGAGATGAGGCGTAAGCCTCAAGGGGCTGAGGCGTAAGCCTCAAAAAATGCCAAAAAAAAAAGTTTAGAAAAAAATAATAGTAATGAAAAACTAAATCCCTACTCAATAATCATTTAAAACAAGAAATTTAACCACTCAATTCATGAAATGACAAGTCTATTTCACTGCTAGACGCATAAAAAAGAGTAAATAGTCACCAAATCCTAATATTATAAGGTCCATAATGCACTTCTAAGAGCCTAGATTTCTCCCAACTTATCAAGCATCATTAGATTCATCACTACTAGTACTAAGAGAAGCATCAGCCAATTTTTGTCTCTCATTGTCCACATATTCTTCACTGTCAGAGTCAGTCTATCCTCTCCTCCTCTTCTTCATCCACTTGAATGGTTTCCTTGTCTCTAACACCTAATAATCAAAATTATACTGGAGTTATTATCTTTAATATGATAATTATAATTAATGTTATATAAGAAAACTATTAATTCATAAATCAGAAAAAAAAAAAAAAAAAAAACCACCACATGAAGCTAAAATATTAAATCCTCAAACCATAATTTTTGTTTTGGTGGATAACTGATATCCACCAAGAGAAGGAAAAAAAAAAGAACCAAGTTAAGAAAGGTACCTGCTATCTTGTTACTCTTTAAGAGTTGAAGCTAGAAGGAGAGATAGCTGATGCGAAGGAAGATAGTGAGCTAGTTGGCTGTTTTGAACATCTGATTCTTGATAGTTGGTTGTTCTGATTTCTCAGGGCTTTTATATGTTTTCTGGGCCTATTTAATTCGGACTGGCTTTAAAATTTTGGGCCGAAGCATATTGGGTTTTGAAAACCCCACAAAAACACAGAAGCAAAGAGGCGCGCGCCTAGGGGTTTGAACCATCCAAAACTAAGAGGGGGGCTTTATTTTTTGGGGTGGTTTTGGTTTAAAACATCACATTAGGGTCTAAATCTTGAACCAGAACTGTCCAAACCAAACACTAGCTTTCAAGAACCATTTTTTACTTTTTGTAAACAAACAAATGTTGGAACCAGAATCATGGGCTCCGGTTCTAGAACCCTCATACCAAACGCAACCTAAGTGAACTTATTCTTTTTATCTTTCCTTTTTTCTAATAGCAATATTTGGAAGGGTATTTTCTTATGCATGTTGGATTGCTTTCTATCTTGAGCATATAGTGAATTTCAAAACATTTTATTTGCTTCTGATTCGTGGCTTATCTGAAACTTGAGAGTTTTGCAGGTATGTTAGGAATTTTCCAGCGAATCAAAACTTCGTGCCACATTTCAATATGCAAAAGATTCAGCCTACTTTTGTGCAGTATGATCCCGTATTTCCTCAGATAGGCCAAATGCCCGGGACTCAGACATCATTGAGCTATGGGCCTCCCTCTAGCCCAGTTATGAACCCTTTCTGTGCCATGGGATTGAATCAGACTTCTAGAGATGCTGCTTACATGCAATGGTCGACTGCTGCAATGATGTATGCACATTCATATGAACAGTCTAGACATGCTGGTTTCCAGGTAAGCAGAATGTCCTTGACTTTCGGATTTCCTCTAAAATAATTAGCGCATGGCCTGCTATTATAACTGTAGAAAACAACTGTGAGTCTGGCATGCAAACAAGGAACTAGAGAGCTTGGTTGTCATCATGAACTTGCATGGCTTTTTTTCAAGACGATATCGTCATCATTTGAAAATTGAAAATTACCTGGAATTGGCTTCACATTACAACGAAGTTCCAATCAGGTGTCTAACTGTTTTAACTATCCTGTTCCAGAATTTCTGATAATTGCTAGGAAAATAGCAAAGATGATATATGATATGAAGATAATGTTTGTAACTCGTTCTGTTTTAGTTTTTACGTCAAAGATATGTTGTATAGTGGATACCATTTGTGTGTTGTTGCATAGAAGCTTAAGCTCTCCATTTTAGAAGATATCGTTGTCTTGAAAATCAATAGAGAAAGCAATGAAGCAATAATGTCAAATTATTATTAGTACTGGGAATTTACAGTATTTGATGTGTATTTGTCAAAACAGCCTCAAGGCTAAGCTACTTTGTTGCATTGCCATACCAAGCATTTGTCTTTCTTTCTTCTTTTCTTCTTCTTCTCCTTCATTTTGTTCTGTGTCGTAGAGCATCTGACTAGGTGCATGCTACAGCTCTCTGTGATGGTTTTGGGGTGGCCAAGGCCGTCATGTGTCTCGAAGAGATCTAGAAGTCTAGTTTTATAGGAATTTAAAAGTTACAACACTTCACATGGAATGTGTGTTTCCCACCCACACCCACTCCCTCTTTCTTCTTACGTTAAATTGAAGAACATTTCTTTGTATTCTGTCTGCTATCTATGACTTCCTGTTGTATTATCCGGGCTATTTTTGCCTGCTAATTTTACCCTTTAATTTTCTTTTGCAGGTTCCATTCTGTCAGCAACCCTTGAGCTTTGATTATTCGCAAAACCATTTATGACTTGTGGGGTTGGGGATAGTATTACTAGATTTACATGCCAAATTTCTTTTCTTTATACATTCGCTAAACCATTTGAGACTTGGATGTTACTGACAGCTATTCCAGTCTAGTTATGTGTCCTTCGTTTTCATTAGTGTGATGATATTGCTCTTTATCGAACCCATATTGTTCTTAGCGTAATTCAAAAATTCACATTTATTGGACTTTCTACATAAATCGTCTTCTAATTTGTTTCAGTTTGTGTCTGCATGATTTCTGTTATAATCCTTTTGAAGTTGCAACAGAAATTGCCGCTAATAATGTGAATATTACTTGTGTATTGAGAATGCGTGATGACTATACTAAAACTAGGAGTGGTTGCAGGCAAGTCTAGTAGTAATTTTACACCCGATTTAACCATAAAGTGACGAGTTTGATGGGTCTTTGAGTAAACCATAAAACTAGGATTGGTCGTTTTATGGGTCTTTGAATTGAAAATTTGAAAAGGAAACCAATTAAAAAAAAAAAATCCTTTAGAGCTGTGAGTAACCACAGAATTTCTACTTGGGGTGTTAAAAAAATGATTTGGCGGGTTTGAAAGTTTTATTTTTGCTTTGTTGGGTTGATTAGAGGTTTTAGAATTTTAAGTTGCGAAACCGATTAAAACTCTCAAATTTTGATTTTATCTAATTTATATACTTGGTATCTTTCTCACGTGTTATTTTCAATATTTAAAATGTTATTTTAATCATGCATCTTAATTCTTAATCATGAATTGTTGCACCTTTCTTCGTCGATCATATCTTGGAAATATGGACAAAACGAGGGTTTAAAATGATGGGAGTGTTTCTCATGCAATCTTTCGAGAGTTTTTCCTCATGATTTATCATAAATCCGAATGTTGTTTATTTTGATTCCAAATTATTAATTTAAGTTCCAAATTATTAATTTAAGTGGAATTAAATGCTGGAAACTTTCACAGAGTGATTGATGGCTGATGAGTAATTTTGAGCCAAGTTCTTTTGTATGTTTCTTAGATGATAGTTTGATGAACAAGCAGCGCCAGCTCAAGACAATCAAGTGCCTTAGCCCTTAGGCAAAAATTTCATATTAGGTTTATTAATATTACGTACATAGGTATATTTGTTATGTACTATACAATGTTTAAAATTTAGAACTAAATTGTTCATCTTTAATATGTAAAGTTCAAGTTTCTTTTTATTTTATTTTTAATTTTCACTATTCCAAGTTTTATTAACATATTTTTGATAGAGGAACCTTTTTTTCTTTTACAATATTCTCAAATTATGTGATTTTTCGTTTTTTTGTTTTTTTTTTTTTGTTTTTTTGTTTTTGTTTTTTTTTTTTTTTTTTG